GGATGAGACAATGCAATTGATCCGAAGACTGCCGCGACTATTGGTGTTTGATTTGGACCACACTCTATGGAACTTCGGTGTGGATCAGTTCCACTTCATTCCTCCGTACCATCGAAACAACGGACAGATCTATGACTCGCACAACAAACCGATGGACTGTTTCCCAGAAGTGCCGCAACTCTTGCGACGACTGTCTGGCGATGGCTATGATCTGGCGGTCGCCTCGCGGACAACCTATCCCTCGGGCGCCCACTCTCTCATCGATCTCTTCCAATGGACTCAATATATCAAATACAGAGAGATATTTCCCGGCAGTAAAGTCACTCATTTTAGTCATCTTAAGACTAACTCCGGGTTTCAATACAAAGATATGGTTTTGTTTGACGACGAGAACCGAAATATCGTCGAAATCGGATCCCTTGGGGTCTTCGCGGTTCCCATTGACAGAGACATTGGACTCACTGTCCGTATTGTCGACGACACACTCCAAGCGTTTCAATCGGACAATACATTCAAATGATAATAGTTTACAATTAAATACAATTAATATAATGTCATAAATGAGTCATTTTAATAATTAAAATCTTGGTTTATTTAGTAAATTAAATAAATTATCACGTAATGAGAAAATATGATATTTAATGCTAATCTGTTTATAATCACAATAAATATACAACAATTCAAATGACTTTTGTCTGGAAATCAAATGAATATTTTAGTGTTTTGTATGAAAATTATTTAAAATAATTAACTAAACAATTAACTAATAATTGGCGTCTAATATGAATGATTTACTAATTAGTGACAATTTGAACGTAACATAATTTATAGTTTTTATTATAAAATATAATTTACACTCCGTTTGTATGAATCTCTTGTATTTTACACTTCTTTGTTGAGTGTTTTTGTATTAACTTTAAATCGATTTGTATTTTGATGTCCAATCACTGTCTGCCTATAATATCACACATTTATTGCATATGAGAGCGAATGCATAACAGTATTGTCTTTCAATTCACTCTCAGCTTAAATAGGATTTAAGTTTGCGTACAGTCTTGTCGTCCAAACGCATCAAATCGAAAGTGAATGTGGTTTCAGTTAAGTCGAAATGACTCGACTCCTCGATGGTGTCCACTATTTTCTGCAAGAGATCAGTGTTCGTCGATTCGTTAATTTTCTTCTGCACTTGTATTAAGTCGAGCACAGAGTCGTCAAAGTCTGGACACATATTCAGCGAACGCTCTTCTTTCGAGTTATTCATGCGTTTATTCGAGTCATTTGTCGCCAAATCTTTCTTCCGTTTACTTGAATTCATTTTCGAGGAATCGTTTCTGTTTTGCTGCGAGTCTTTGGTCTCATTTTTCTTCAAATGGGCGCTCCTTTTGGGCGACTGTTTGACCACTGAGTGGTCACTGCTGTCCGAGTCGTCCAAAATGAAGCGACTGTTTGCGTCGGGTTTACGATTCGGTCGAATCGGTTCAAAGCCGAGAGATGTGGACGAGTTGTCACTCGATGCCGGAGACATGGATTCGTGTGATTCAATTTCAGCTGCCATTTGATTGAGAGGCCTATCATTTGATGGCGGCGTCAATGAGGCAGATGAAGGGCTGGAACTCCTCTCTCTAGTATGTAAGCCATACTTATCTTTGGACGCTTTCATGTGTTTACTTCCATTCACTTTAGGAGACTTAACATAATTGGGTTCGGGTTTGGGCTTAACTTTGTTGGCGTTCAGAGAAGAGCTAATAGTTGTGTTGGCATTGGAATTAAGTTTGTCTTTAGCGGACTTGGAGTCCTTAGTCCTGGACTTCTTGCTCTCGCTGTCCCACGTCTTCTCCTTCTTAACAGACTTGATCTCAATAGTAGTGCTGCTGTTGTTATCACTGAAACTGATTTTAGTTGACGTCGAGCTCTGCTTTTTGACACCACTGTTCACGTCTTTCGACGAATTCTTTTGACGTTTACTCTCTTTCTTATTGTCCTTATCTTTGATTGAATTCAGTTTCTGAGACTCTTTGTGTACTTTTGGTTCAGTTGTTGGCGTTAAAGACGAGTTAAACGTCGAACTGTTTCTTCGCTTTTTAGACGATTTTAATTCATTTTTATTATCACTCGATATGTCATAAGGTTTAGGCGATGATTGGATATTCTTCTTCTTTGACTTATTTGGTGTCAACTCTTCTTCTCGTTTGCTTTTTGTACTCTCTTTACTCTTTGAATCCTTTGATTCTTTAGTCTCTTTCGACGACTTGTCAATAATCTTATGAGTTGGCGATAAATACGAGTTTTTGCTCGAATTCTTATGCAATGATTTTGAATCATTTTTGACTCCTTTAGAAGCAATTGCTGTGTATTTATTCTTCGATAAATTGTCCTATAATTAAATTTTTAGTTATTATAAATCAAACCCTAATATAAGTAACTCTAAACTCACTTTGTTTTTAACAGCAGAATCTGTAGAAGTTTTGGCGTGAATGGGATCTCCGAACAAATCAGTGAATTGTCTGTTATTCGATGGAGCGATGGGTTGAATGGTTTGCTTTTCGGAAGCAACCGATGGATTCGATGAGGAAGTCGTTGTAGTGTTTTGTGATTTTATCAATGATTTGTCTTTAGAAGGGATAACACCCGTAATCTTGGATTTCTTACTCTCATTATTTCCGGTCACTAATGATTTAGTGCTATATTTAGAGTTATTTGAAGTCGAGGTTTGTTGTGCCAAAGACTTCTCTTCAGAACCGGACGACGTTTTGACTGAAGAACCATTCGATTCATTGGAAACCTATTGTCACAAAAGAGAGAAATCCATTCAAATATTTCATATTAGTGTTAATTATTGTGGTATGTCTTCAAACTGTATTACTATAGTATTATGACAACACATTTCCACAAATCACTCGTTATTTTCACTCTAACCCCACAAGAATTAGATGTAAATGTGAGTGAATTGCTTATAATAAATGTTACAATATATTTGTAAAATATATGCCCTTTAATATAATAAATACGTTATAACAATGAATATGATTTGTAATACAGTGATAGCAAATTTGCCCTTAAGATCAGACCGGCTCTAACCTAACCTAAACCTCCTTTCAGTTCTCTAAACTCGACTAATGACACCATTTTGACGAAAATCTTTGCAAATTTAAAATAAGTTCAATTTCACAAAAAAAAAGTTTCCATTACTTGTTAAAAAATTAGTTATTATTTCATAGTAATAATAGTGAGTAAGTGAGTGAGTGAGAGAGAGAAAGAGAGAGAGAGAGAGAGAGAATGATTAGAAATTAAAATCTTTAACATTGAATTCTCGCAAATAGTTAATACTTATCATGACTTTGAAAGTGTTTTCTCATCTATAGTTAAACTAAAACTATATAAAAGTTGCAATAATTTTGTTTTTTTATTAAAACATATTTACAATAAACGAAACACTTTTATACACTTATTTTCTCTTCTGTGCCAAATTATGGCTTAACATATGGCAGAGCTTAACGCTTAATACTGTCATCATTTGGGATACAATTTAAGAAATAATGATCAAAAAAATCTAAAACAAAACATTTCTGCAAATAATTTAAATAACTTTTATTAATATTTTAATTTACCACATATTTTAATAAAACTCAAAATAACTTACTATTGAAAGTATGTAAAGTATTGAAAAATTCAAGTAAATTTACTGTACTTTTATACAGTATATCATTTATTTAAAATAAATTCTCATCATGCTGAATTGTGGTTAACAATAATTATTCGAGTATTGCTTTGTTTAATGAATATAACAATAAGTATAGAGACAATGAAATATAATTGATAACAGACCCGATATTTGGATGAAATGTTGTCTTTGATATGATATAGCATAACATAAACCACACAATTGAATAACTATTGGCTTTAAGTGAGAATTGAGTTGACGCTCACAAACATTTATTGCCATTAATTTGTGCTAATTTTTTGTCAAACAATTCGAGCAAAATATACAAATTAAGTGAACGTCAATACAAGAAATTTCAATGTTTTTAAAGCAAACCATTTAATGGGACAGTAGTTATGAAATAAGCACTTATCTAATGAATATAATTCAGCGATAGGTTGTGTGAACCAAAAAGCTCTCTTATTTGTTGCCATTTCAACTTCACTTCTGTTTGTCATTCATTTCACTGTATTTTTAAAATGCTATACTATTTATTCAATCATATCATTTTTATTATAAAAGTACCATGGACAACTCTACTTATACATATTGTACCATTGTATAATTTCAATAAATTGCACTTTATTTCATATATAATGGCAATACGTGTATAATCTGAGCTTGATAATAAAATGTGAATAGTCAAATGTTGCCATAGATAGGTTCCATTTTCAAATCCTGAACTTGCTAGTGCTGAATTTTTTAAAAATTTCGTATGACCTTCTAAATCTAACATTTAGTGCATTACCATTAGTTAATTATGTCGATAAACAAATTAAATGGGATCTAATAATATTGTCCATATTGCAAGAAAAAGTGGCATATGCTTAATTATGTTTAAGATCATCACAATTTGATGAGCAAAATTTGGTTAAACACTTCAATTTAATTATTAAATATCATTTGAAAAAATTAATCGACACTTTCTAATATTTAAGCTACTATTTAGTAAACTATAAATGGTGTCAACAATTATATTCATTAAATTTCATATAAATCATATGCCGTAATAAATTCTTTTAATAGAGAAACATAATTATAAGAATTATTTGCAGACACTGTAATCACATGAAGAGATAAATGTGTGATCTTTGAGTTTAAAAGCTATGTTATAAGTTATATCATTTATCATCGCATGTATTACCACTTTTGTACACAATTAGCATTTATTTGGTCACAATTAATAGCAATTTGTTTATAACAGTAATTGTGAAATTGTCTGCTAAATGCAACTGTTATTCAAATGAAATGTATGTCAATATTTTCATCACAAAAATGAGTGATATTTGACTCAAACCAGAGAATAAGATACTCAACGAGAGAATACGAGAATATTCACAACAATATTCATTCAATATTGTGCTCAATATTGAACAACAAGAATAGAAAGGGAGTAATGTTTAGGCAAAAAACGATATGAAATGGTTTGAAAAAATGGTCAAATGCTTACTCCGCCGGCTTTAAGCAGTTTCTTCTTGAAGTCATTGCTTGGGTTCTGAAACGTGAGTTTCTCTCGACGACAGTTACTGACGGCGTCGTCCAAACGCAGGTACAGGTCGTACTCAAACGAGATCTTCTTCGGCTCCTCTTTGTTCTTGAAGTAGACCTCAATCGGGAGCTCAAAGCCCGCGTATCCCGACTCCGACACCTGATAGGGCGGCTCTTTCAACACTAAACACATCAAACATACATTTTAGTTAATTGGGCGTCAAATCAAGTGTCAAAGAGTGTGTCAAACCTCTCCTCGGCTTAGGAAAGCTTTCGTGTAAATGAAAGACTACTTTCTCGACGAAGTGCTCGATATTACTGTTTTCGGGTCCCCTGGGGACCCGAAAACAGTAATATCGAGCACTTCGTCGAGAAAGTAGTCTTTCATTTACACGAAAGCTTTCCTAAGCCGAGGAGAGGTTTGACACACTCTTTGACACTTGATTTGACGCCCAATTAACTGAATGTATGTTTGATGTGTTTAGTGTTGAAAGAGCCGCCCTATCAGGTGTCGGAGTCGGGATACGCGGGCTTTGAGCTCCCGATTGAGGTCTACTTTAAGAACAAAGAGGAGCCGAAGAAGATCTCGTTTGAGTACGACCTGTACCTGCGTTTGGACGACGCCGTCAGTAACTGTCGTCGAGAGAAACTCACGTTTCAGAACCCAAGCAATGACTTTAAGAAGAAACTGCTTAAAGCCGGCGGAGTAAGCATTTGACCAGTTTTTCAAACCATTTCATATCGCTTTTTGCCTAAACATTACTCCGTTTTTATTATTGTTGTTCAATATTGAGCACAATATTGAATGAATAGTGTTATGAATATTCTCGTATTCTCTCGTTGAGTATCTTATTCTCTGGTTTGAGTCAAATATCACTCATTTTTGTGATGAAAATATTGACATACATTTCATTTGAATAACAGTTGCATTTAGCAGACAATTACACAATTACTGTAGTTATAAACAAATTGCTATGAATTGTGACCAAATAAATGCTAATTGTGTACAAAAGTGGTAATATATGATATAACTTATAACATAGCTTTTAAACTCAAAGATCACACATTTATCTCTTCATGTGATTACAGTGTCTGTAAATAATTCTTATAATTATGTTTCTCTATTAATTAAAATAATTTATTACGGCATTTGATTTATATGAAATTCAATGAATATAATAGTTGACACCATTTATAGTTTACTAAATAGTAGCTTAAATATTGGAGTGTTAATTAATTTTTAAAAATGATATTTAATAATTAAATTGAAGTGTTTAACCAAATTTTGCTCATCAAATCGTGATGATTTTAAACAAAATTAAGCATGTGCGACTTTTTCTTGCAATATGGACAATATTATTTTATTCCATTTAATTTGTTTATCGACATAATTAACTAATGGTAATGCACTAAATGTTAGATTTAGAAGGTCATGTAATATTTTAAAAAATTCAGCACTAGCAAGTTCAGGATTTGAAAATGGGCCCTATCTATGGCAACATTTGACTATTCACATTTTATTATCAAGCTCAGATTATACACGTATTGCCATTATATATGAAATAAAGTACAATTTATTGAAATTATACAATGTATAATATACAATATGTATAGGTAGAGTTGTCCATGGTACTTTTATAATGAAAATGATATGATTGAATAAATAGTATAGCATTTTAGAAATACAGTGAAATGAATGACAAACAGAAGTGAAGTTGAAATGGCAACAAATAAGAGAGCTTTTTGGTTCACACAACCTATCGCTGAATTATATTCATTAGATAAGTGCTTATTTCATAACTACTGTCCCATTAAATGGTTTGCTTTAAAAACATTGNGGTATCCATATCCAGTCCACTGCTGATAGTTTTGATAGTTCGGGGGTTGAGTCCAACCATTGCCTGCGCTGTAAGCGCCCGTTTGTTGGCTTGAATTCCATGCGGAGGGCGGATATGCCGACGGTATCATCCCATTAGGCATTCCTGGAAGGGGTCCGCTCTGAGGGGGAGGCGGTTGGCCGGGAGGAGGGGGTACATGCATAGGGGGGCCCGACTGGTGTCCCCACATGGGGTTCCAGGGAGGCATTCCACCAGACATAGGGTGACCGCCGCCCGGCTGTTGCATCGGATTGCCTGCCATTAGACTTGTCAGCGGTTTTCCAGTCGCCTTATCCCTGGGTTCGGCTCTTTTGATTTCAACCTGTATTTCGGATTCAAATACATTAGTAATCGTTTGAATGAAAACAAATATAAAAATATAAAATAAAGAAAAACTAAATTAATTAGAAGTGAATCGTTGAACAAAACCTTAAACCCCTCTCTCATGCGATGTCTTAAACACTATTTAATAATTATAAACATCAATAGTCGCGAAATACTGTAAATAAATATCTGGTATTAAATATAAAAACAAATTATTGCTAAAAAGTATTAATCGATAAATATCTTTAAAATTATTTGCAATTAATGTTAATATAATTTATAATTTAAAAAATGATTATAAATTATTTGAATAAAATAAACTAATATATAAAATATCAATTAATTTAGTATAAAATTAGTCTATAATTGATAAAAATATAGTAATAATGAGTGCATTGAGAATGTAATGAATGTTCGACGAGGCATGAGAGTGAGGTCCGGAGGTCGAGACCATGGGGTGGTCATGTAGTGTGTGGTAAATGACCTGCTTTCCACTGATGGTGACAAAATGATCTTGCACAACTTTGTCTATCGTGTCTTCATTATCAAAGGACAAGAATCCAAAGCCTAACCAAAAGGCATTCAAATTCCAGTTTATATTAAAGTCATTCAAAGTCGAGCGAAAAGTGTCAACAAGTAATGCAATTCACGAAAGATTAACAACTATTTCACTTAATTATAGTTATAATTATATTTAAATTAATATATATATTATATATAACGTAAGTTATCAGAAGATTCACTATTTTATGACTATTAATAATATTTATAGTAAGACTTAGTTTGCATTTAATTAAACCTAAAATATAAAATGATATAATTGTTAAAACAATTGTTTAAATTCACAACAATTAAAATACTTACACAACATTTAGATTTAGTAACTAAAGCATAACGTAATTAATACTAATGTATTATATTGTCATTCATATAAGTCTATAATTATTTAAGGCATAAGTAATTCAAATACAAATTCAGTGTTGTTTCCAAACTAGTTATAACTATTAAGCCATTTATTACCTCGAGTTTTCTTTTTCTCCTATAATAATACAGAACAAAAAATCATTAGAATTACAATGAATTAAAATATTCAATTCAATGAATCAATTACCTGATCATACATTATCACCACTTCGACCACCTATTCATGAGAGTAAATGACAACAATTAGTCTTTAAATCAATTGCATTACAAATATATTACTTTTCCATATTTGGAGAAGAAGTCTCTGAGAGTCGATTCATTCACATTCGGTGGAAGTCCTCCGAGAAATACTTTGGGAAAGTTCCCCACTTTTGCGTCCCGTTTGCCTTTTTGTGCGCTCTTTGGGTTACACTCTTTCGGGTCAATCTTTGCGTAAATCAATTGATAAGTCAAAGCTTATGAAATAATTCGTACAATCAGTCAATACATACCGTCCGGCCGTCGAGAATGTGCGGACCGCTGGCTATCACTATCTGTACAGAAGAGGGGTCTTTGAATGTGACAAAACCGAAACCACGTGAGCGCCCGGTGTCTGCGTTCTTCATAACCACACAATCAGTCACTTCTCCATAACGGCTGAAATGTTCGGTCATTTTCTCTGCTCAGTGCGGGATCTGGTCTTACAATCCATTCAACCCATAACTCATTCAATGCTAAATCACTTACCGATTGTTGTCTCCCAACTCAGGCCTCCGATGAAGAGTTTCCTGTTTAACGACATATCAATCAATCAATAGCTCAACAAAGCGATGACAACACGTGACAACGTTTGGCCACGTGTTGTGCGGCCGAAGTGCTGGCCATGCCTTCAGTCAACATTCAAAGAGTGAGACAAATGGACACAAACCCGGGTTCGTCGCCGACGTCTAAAGTCATGATAATTGGCCTCCAATTGTGGTCTCAATGTGTGATCACAACTACACCACAAGAAGATCGCCGCAAAATGTGCTCAAAAAACCTAACGCTATGTCTATTGAAATTGAGATTAAAATACAGTTTCTATTCATTCAAAGGATTTTTGTAGAAAAAGCAGACATTTTACTCAATTAGAGTGATTCAGTGGTTCACTCATTAGAGGTGTGAACGGGTGTTAAAGGGCTTTACCATTGATATTAATTTACAGTTAAATTGCATTCATTACTAAATGCATCTAGATTGCTAAATATTTGTTATGCATTAATACTGTGTGTCCATTATTTGGTTAATAGTTGATTGATTATATTTGAAATGTATTTTTTATTAATTTTATAATTCATTAAAAATGTATTTGAAAATAAGGCGAAGACCTCTAAAGGGATTGAAAACTAGTGTTGTATTGTCTGTTATATTGTAAACGTATTGCATTTACAGTAAACACATTAGTAATACGAATACAACACTACATGTATTGCCAATTGATGTAATGTTTTAACGTATGAAACGATGTTTTAAATGAGTTTTAATTAATGTTTACATTATTTACAAAAACAATGATTTATTGAATTAATCGATGATTTAGTGATAAATGGCTTCCATTTAAACAATTGTCTCATAAGTGATAGCATTGATTGAATTGACATCAAAGCCATTGCCATGTCTTCAGTGAGTCCTTCATTTGATTTGATTAATGATTAATGTATTGATTGTATGAATGAATTGATTTTTGTCGCGATTGCAGCGATCGTCTCAATACGTTGAGGTGCAGCTCGAGATCGGACACAGAGCCACACCACGCATACTATCCAAGAATAAGCCACTCCAGGAGAACCACACACACGACTGGTATGTCATCCGCACCACCAATCAGTCCTCTTCAGTGGATCTAATCATTTATATCCAATTACAGGACAGTCTTCGTGAGGGGACCCGAAAACAGTAATATCGAGCACTTCGTCGAGAAAGTAGTCTTTCATTTACACGAAAGCTTTCCTAAGCCGAGGAGAGGTTTGACACACTCTTTGACACTTGATTTGACGCCCAATTAACT